TGTGTGTGTGTGTGTGTGTGTGTGTGTGTGTGTGTGTGTGTGTGTGTGTGTGTGTGTGTGTGTGTGTGCATGTTAAAAAATCAGAATGCTTAAGGCCAATATCTGATATATATCCTGCTCTGAAAGAAGAGTCTTTCATGAATATTTCAGCTACCCCAGAGCCAAATATAAACTTGTAAGCTAGAGAATGTGACCATTTTTTTACAATCATGTTGATTTAGCCTTTCTTGCCAAGAATAGGGTCATATTGGCATGACACCAGCAGGAATAAACTCTGAGCCCAATCTGCATAAAACAAGGAAGTTGGTCTCCATCAGGGTCAATTCACTGAAGAGGGCGTAAGAGCTCCTTGAAGTTTTCTAATTCTTTAACGCTTGTTGAAATCCTGCATCAGACAATGAAAAAAATATATTATTTGGATGTAAGTGTAGCATGGCATCTCTATTTAGCTAATCTGGAAGAGACTGTGGAAAGGAAAAGAAACATAATTGGAGAATACGTGATACTGATTTCATCTTTCAAATAGAAAGGGTCAAAACTCACCTTCCAAAAGCATTGAAGAGGGACACAATCTCCTGCCTCGTTAGATGAAATTCATGTGAAGGGCCTTTTTCTGGTATGTTTTCTATCAGTTTTTCAGAAAATAGGATCTTCAGCGCTGTTCCCAAGCCCTGAGTCTGTACACAGTGGGAACAAGATCTCAACTAAACATCACACCAGGAAGTGAACTTGTGATCACGATCAGCTTTTTTTTTAAAGTAAAAACTGGGCAATTTAAATAAAGTATTAAATAAATGGGTGGTCCTCCAAACATCCTATCAGATCAAACATGCAAATATTATACTAGCTAAACAATTTTAATGTAAAAGTAAAGAAGGAAATAGAACTTCCTTATTTTAAAATTACACAGACACAGAGACATAGACAGATGCCCTAAATATAGTTACATTCTGCTATATCTGCTTTGTGTATTGATATACAAAGTGCACCAACTGGAAGGTCCAATCAATTTTATAATTTCTTCTTTTTTATAAGTAACATGTTTTTTTTTACTATTGAGTTTTATTTTGCACTGGTCTTCAACTGCAACATACAAAGATATTTGCTGAATGTCAAACTTGACCTTAGAAGAAGAATTTTAAATTGTGCATCAAAAAAAAAGAATATTTTTGCTATGATGGTATTGACTAGTAATATATCTTGCTAATTCAGTATTTGTATTAGCTACAGTTCCTTTAAAAAAAACCATCATCGTCATTACCCTAATGAGACTCTAATTGGTGCAGAGTGGAGAAGGGAAAAGATTTAAAGAGAGCCAATGTTATGTAGTACTGAAGGTGCTGGCCTAGAAACCAGGAAAATGTGAATTCATGAAATCCATCTGGGTGACCAGTCATTCTCTCTAAGAGCTGTGGTGGCGCATTGGTTAGAATGCACTAATTCTGCTGACTGCCAACTGCCAGCATTTCAGAAGTTCGATTCTCATCATCTCAAGGTTGAGTCAGCCTCCCATCCTTCCAAGATTGGCAAAATGAGGACCCAGATTGTTGGGGGCAATATGCTGACTCTGAAAACCGCTTAGAGAGGGCTGTAAAGACCAGTGAAGCGGTATATAAGTCTAGGTGCTATTGCTATTGCTAAAGCCAACCCATTCAATAGGGTTGATGAGGAGAAAATTGGAGGCAGGAGAACTAAGCAGGTTCACCACGTTGAACTATATATAAAAAGGGGAGGGGAATAAAAGTATAATAATATAATACCTGACAATGGCTGAGATCAGGAAAGTTGAAGAAAGACAAATGAGCTAATTCTGGATGCATAAGATCAACCCTTGACAACAAATGCATACAAAGCAGTGGTGGGTTTCAATTTATTTTACTACTGGTTTGCACATGTGCAGAAGAATCCGGGTGGGTGGATGGAACCTCCGGCCGCCGCTACTACCAGTTCATCTGAACCGGGGCAAACCGGCAGAAATTCACCTCTAGTACAAATTGAGAAGACAGAAATAGAAAACAAGGGCAGAGGTGGGTTCCTACCGGTTCGGACCAGTTCGGCTGAGTAGGTAGTAACTTGACCGGACATGCCTCCATATTGGTTCTATTGGCGGCATCTTGTTTTTTGCTTCTGCATGTAGAAGCGATTTTTTTACTACTGTGCATGTGCGCATAGCGTGCCTCAAGCGCACCCCTGAGCGAACCAGCAGTAACAGAAGCCGGAACCACTCCTGAACAAAGGCCACCAATGCAAAGAAGCTGAAGAAACAGGAAAAGAGGGGGTGGGTGGGTAAGGGAGTAACTTACTTGCAGTTTCCCCCAAAGGCGACATTTTAGGCACTCTACACAATCCATGATCCTTGAAATGTTCTTAAAATGGAACCGAAATTCCTCCTGAGAAAGAATAAAGGAACTAATGAATTAATGATTTAAAAATTCACTCATTATCTTTTATTTGAATCTGTAGCATTTCCCCCATTTGGTAACTGAGCTCAAACTCAATTTTATGGAGGACCACATCAGGGTTGCGTTTGAGCTTACAAAAAGTATCCCCCCACCCCCCACCCCGAAAGTGGCTTAATTTTACCTTTAACTTGGCAGCTTCTTTTTGGTTTCCAGCAAAAAGTGAATTTTCATCGAAGTGCAAAGGAAAAGATCTGAGGCAGAACACAAACACTATTAATAATGAAGGTCTGTCATTGTAGAAGAGAATGAAAAAAATTCTATTCATCAGCAGTTATTAATTTCAGTAGTTCTTTTAAGGGTTTTTTTGTGTTGGTTTCTGCTGTAACTACTAGAATCTTAAGATTCTAGTGACATTTTGAGATCCGTGTACTATTGTACTATTGCCATTTGCCTTCAGGGCTACACCTTGTATTTCACAAAGTTTGCAATTCATTACAGTGAACCTTGTTGAAAGCTGATTGCCTTCAGCAACTATACTGGAGATGACAACCATAAATTAAATACACCTTTGATTTATGCTCCCCAAACTCCATTGAGGCACCAATCAAGAGAGACCAGCATGTTTATCCTTTAGCCCTTAATTGCAGTTAGAATGAAGATAAGTTTAACTAGGATTAGAAATAGGATAAAAGCAATGTTTATTTAGAGGATAAAACAATATCTATTTTAAAAAGTTACTATCACCCACCCGAAAATTGAGATATTTTAATTAAGACTGCTAAATCATGGCAACAAAAATCCAGACAATTAAATGCAAGCAAAGAGTGTTACCAATTCTGGTTGGCAAAAAAAAACATTGATTGCAAACAATGGATTTGATTAATGACCACTGCATTTGTTGATTGCTACTTCAAAAAAGTAATAAAATTGGGCTGACTCACTTAACAACAAGTATAACTTAATAGTCGTTAAATAATTCTAGGTTTAATGATGGTTTAATTACGGGTTTAATTACAGTCATAAATCTAGGACAACCTATAGTGCACAACAGCCAAATGAAAAAGAGGTTTCCTACATTGAAATGGAGAGCAGTAGATGAACAAGACTTTATTGCTTGAACTGGCATAAATCAAAAACCAGAATTTTGATATGCAGAAGGAAAAGATGCGTGGAGGTTACCTCTCAGGTAAACTGGGTACAAGCAGAGTGTTGTGTGTTCCTATACTTGAGAAAACCACTGTCATGGCTGCCATTCTGCTAGCCAAGCATCATAAGCTGACAGCTGACATTAGCAACAAGGAGTGGATTGGAATGGGACACCAAGGGGTCTCATTTAGTAAGATCTGTGGTTCGTCTGATGAATCCTATTCATAATAAAGAATTAATGGGACAGATGGTTCTAAAAAGGTGCAGAGAACTTAAACCCCTTAATTAATTTGGATGAGGGAATAAATGGGGAACTCATCAAATTTGCAGATGACACCAAGCTGGCAGGAATAGCCAACCCTCCAGAAGA